CTCAGAGGTCTTCAAGAGTCTGACATATTCAGAGGCAGATGCTCACAACTAGCCATTGAAGTGATCATGGGGTTCTCAATGGAGGAGTTAGAGTGAAGACTGAAGGAGCTGAAAGGATTTGTGGCCCCATGAGGAGAGCAACAATACCAACCAACCACAGCTCCCAGGGTCTAAACCACCAGCCTGGGAGCACTTATGGAGGGATCCAGGGCCTTAGCTGAATATATAAGAGTGGAGGGCCCTGCTGGGCACAGATGGAAGATGAGATCCTTGACCTCATGAAGGCTGGACGCCCCAGGGGGTGGGAGTTTTGAGGGTGGGGAGGTGGGAGTGGGGGGGTAGATAGAGGTTACATCCACAAAGAAGAAGGAGGAGGTGTGAGGGGATTGGGGGTTCCTGGGTGGGTGGGGGATGGGGTAAGGGGACAACATATGAAATGTAAATAAAACATCCAATAAAAAAAAAAAATCTTTTGACAGTCGATCAACCCTGTATGTTAAAAGTATTAGAGAGGCCACAGATACAACACACATACCTAAACATAATCAAAGTTATATACAGCAAGCACAAAGCCAAAGTCAAGCTAAATGGAGAGAATCTTAAAAGAATCCTTCCAAAATCAGAGACAAGGCAATGGTGGCAGCTCTCTTCCTATCTATTAAATATAGCACCTTAAATACTAGTAAGAACTATTAAACAACTAAAGAGATCAACAGGATATAAATTTGAAATTAAGTAGTGCAAATATCACTGTTTAAATGTAATATGTTAGTATATATAAGCAACTCCCAAAAATCTACCAGAGAACTCAAAGCTGATAATCAGCTTCAGTAAAAGTGTGGATACAAAATTAAGTCAAAGAAATCAGTGGCTGCCCATATACATATATACATATATATATGCATATATATATATATATATATATATATATATATATATATATCAAGCAAGTTAAAAATCTGAATTATAAGAACTTGAAGTCCCATGAGAAAGAAATTTAAAAAGGTATCATTGGATGGCTTGGCAGGAATAGTATAGTAATAATCGCCATCTTACCAAATGCAATCTACATATTCATTGCAGTCTCGATCAACATTCCAAAACAATTTTTATAGCAGTGCTGATAGTCATATGCATAAAAAAGAATACCACAATAGCCAAAACATTCCTGAACAATAAATTAGCTTTGGGATGCATAACTATCCCTGAATACAAGCTATACCACAGTGAAATAGAAATAAAGTCTACTTGGTATTCATACAGAAACAGACAGGTTGATTAATGGAATCACATTAAGATCCAGATGTAAACCAACAGATCAATCTATGGACAATTGATTTTTGTTAAAGAAGCCAAAACCATACAATGGAAAATAGAAAGCCCCTTCAACAAATGGACCTGATCTAAGTGGATATCTACATGTAGAAGACTGCAAATAGATCCATATTTATCACAAAGCCCAAAACTAAAGTCCAAGTGTATCAGGGACTTTACCATCAAACTGGATATGATAAATCTCATAGAAAGAAAGTGGGGAATGGCCTTGAAGGCATTGTTACTGGAAATAATTTCCTGAACAGGATACCAATGACTCAATTTCTAAGATCAACAATTGATGAAAGGGACCATATGAAACTGCAAAATTCTGTGAAGCAAAAGACACTAATATTATCACAAAAGGGTAGCCTAAGATTTAGAAATTATCCTTACATACTTCCATGTGACAGAGGACTAGTATCTAAAATATATAAGGAACTCAAGAAATTAAACATCAGCAATCAAAATAACCCAATTAAAAAAATGAAACAGAGCTACACATATACTCAAAAGTGGAATCTAATGGCCAAGAAGCACTTAAAGAAATAATCAAAGTCCGTATTCATCAGGGAAATGCAAATTATATCAACTCTGAAATCCAACCCTGTTGTGGGAAGTATTAAAAATAATCAAAAGTTCCAGCTCCCATACTATCCCTAGCACTGGTAGGCCACATGACAGTAGTGGGCTTCTTGGCACCAGAGCCCCAAAATCTCTCCATCAGAGTCACTAAATTCTCTCTGGCCTGTCACCACCACACCAGCCTGGTGCTTCAAATCCCCCATGGCCGTTGTGGTGCACACCAGGCAAACCCACAATTTGCTGCCTTTCTCTCTTTAACTCAGTCAGGTCACCACAAGAAGAAAAACACCATACAAACTTAGTTCAGAAGCAGTGATAACTCAATCTCTGGGTGCAACAACTATAATGCTTATTTTGTAAGCTACATTAACTCTTATTCCTCTTGGCAAATCCTGGCATAAGCCTCGGAGACACTAGTAGCTACCCCATGTCCTATCTCTGTTATGTCCAAAAAGGACCCTCTCTCTGTTTCCTGCTTCCTCTCTTCCCTTATCCAACCTGTAAGTCCCACTTACTCCCCAAGTGATCAGCTCCTTTTTTCATTAGGGAACGGTTCAAAAGAAGTCACCTGAGTACTTGACTCATTCATACTTTGCAGCCCATCTGAGAGCAGAATCAGCATCAAAATACAAACTACCCCAGGGTTATCTACAACACCATCTCATGTGGATATCAGCAGGGGCATATGTAAGGATGCTTGCATCTCACAGAAAGGGGAGACATAGATTAGGTGTGTGGAGGTATGTGGATGGAGAGAGAAGACTGGCTTAGAGAGTGTGGTCAGAATGGAAATGGGGAAGGAGGTTAGGGGAGGTTGGAGCAAGATAGTACTTAGAAATTCAGCTTTATTGGGGGTTGTAGGACTGTGAAAGGACAGCATGGTTTCTGGATGAGCACTGGCTAGAGATGTCTGGAGATCCAGTAGGTTAGCGACATCACAGGTATCACTTCAAGGGACAGAATGCATTTTCCCATGCTCCCAGACTTCAGGTTCCTGATACAAGGTAAACACCTCCATCTATCAAAGTATTTCAGGTATATAGGACAATAAACACACTAGTCTCTCCACAGGCAAAGGGCATGACAACAGGCCAAGAAGCCTCAAGATAGATCTCCATATTAATGAGATATATAAAGGTCAGAAAGTGCAGCCTGTTAAACATTGTTTCCCAGACCCTCACCCTTACAAAATCATAGGCCTTCCTTGAGAATACTAGGGAATAGTTTTATTCATTTTCAACCATGACAAGAAACATTTTAAGAACATGAACTAAGATCTCTCTTCCCTGGAACCCACACTGGAGAAAACTACTGCACAACCACCTAATCTCGAGCTGACAACCTCTCTACATTCCAACCATGGTGGCCCAGCCACTCAAGCATGCAAGCCAAGCCAGCTGTAACCCAGCCAAGCGAATACAGTGAACCAAGACTCTCATACCTGCAGATGCAGCCAGAGGTTGTTGCTCTCCCTGTGGGACTTCAGACTGTATTCTCCATCCTGGGAGCTGAGTCCCATGGATTCACATAGCCCAATTTCTGCCTGGCACTGGTGTGGAGAGAACACAAATTCCCATGCCTATGTCCCTCTAAGCAGCAGACCTAGCCCCTTGGTGAGGGCCAGAAATGGGACCCACAATTCAACCCAACACCACGCACAAACACTACTACCTACCAGTGGTGGTGCTCTCTGTGAAGATATATAATATTAGGACAATTGAAACTCCAAGAACTCTATGAGTCACCGAGCAATAAGGGATATACAGCCTAAGCTGGCCATCACCTATAAACAAGCTAGAGTTCCAGTGAAGTAATTGGGACACTAACACAACCACAAAAATCTCAACCCACAACTTGTCCTTCCTAGTGCTGTGTCCATTTCAAAAGCTTTTGCAGACCTCAAAAGAACACCAGGGTGCCAATTCTGATGCAATTGCAGTAGGGGCTTATTTCAAGATTGTCTTTGGGTCCACTTGCCACAGCAAGAGAGGAAGTTTAAGCCCAGCCCTCATCAGGATAAAATTTTATAGGAAATGCTAAGCAAGCAAGGGAGTTTCCAGACTGGCAAACACTTAATCAAATGAGAATCATAAGGCAACCTATTGGTGCTCTGATGTAAAAACCAAGAACAATCACAAAAAGTCTGAAAGTACATCTGGAAGTATCAGAGTTATCATGATTTGTTATTTCTAGGCAGTAGCTAGAGTGTAACTCTAGGATATGGCCCAAAGTCAAGCTGGTTGGTGCTTGCTGGAACTTGGGTGCAATTTTGATTCAGCACAGCTCAAGTTTCAGGCTCTTTTTCTTTTAAAATGGAGATGGATCCCAAGATCAAGTATGTTTGGCCTTTTACTACAAAATGTACAGGGGTAAAAGATGAACAATTTGAGGAAAAAGCTAACCAATGACTTGCCTAGCTTGATGCTCACACAGTGAGAGGGTGACCACCCCTGATGCCATTAATGATATTCTGCTATACTCATGGACTGGAACTTAACAAAAATGTTGAAAGAGAGGTCTAAGAAAGCAACTGATGGAAACTGTAGAAGAACATCACAGAAAAACTTAAAGCGGTGCTTGAGAACTACTAGGGATGAGAAGGAGGAAAGATTGAAGGATCCAGAGTGATAAATGTCACTAAAATAAATCCCACTGAATCAAATAACCTGAGCCAATAGGTGCTCATAGAAACTGAACTACCAACCACAGAACATACAAAGCATGTACCTAGATCCTCTGTATTCTTGCATCAGTTAGGAATCTTGCTTTGCATGTGTTGACTCTTAGAGAAGGAACATTTGCTATCTTCAACTGCATTGTGTTCCTTTGAATAGCTTTCCCCTAACTCAACTGTCTTTTCTAACTTTAATAACGGATGTATGCCTAGTCTTACTAGAACTTGGCATATAAAGGCTGACTAATATTAATGAAATTCTCTTCTGTATTATAAAAAAAAGGAGAAAAAGATTGGTTGAGCAGAGGGGGAAGGGGAGAAGGGGAGATTGGAAGGAGAGAATGGATAGAAAGCTACAATTTGGATGTTAATTAAATAAATAACTTAATAAATAGAAAAAAGCCCAGCTACAAGTATTTTGCTAGTTTTAATTTTTTAGAAAAATTGTCTCATAATTTCACTAATTATGCATTTCTTCATTCTAGCTAATTAGTCTTCACCAAACTGGATAAGATTGTTTCAATTTTCTTTTATGCCTCAGATATTTTAAAGAGACAATCAATTCTTTTTTGTCTCTCTTTTTTTAGGGAGGGGGTTGATATTTTATTTATTTACATTTCAAATGTTATTGCCTTGCCTGGTATTCCCAATCCTGGAAACCCCATATCCCATTCTTCTTCCCCTGCTTCTATGACAGTGTTCCCTACTCACCCAACTACTCCCACCTTCCTCCTCTCCAGTTCCCCAGACTGAGGAACTGGAGCATATTACTTCCTACTGTGTACTGTTTTTCTTCCATCATGCATAGACAAAGTAAAAGAAATCTATATCCTGGAGAGGCATGAACATTTCTTGATAACAGTGACAGAGCAAGGAAATTACTCCTTTCATGTCTAGCTTGGTATCAATGAGTGTATTAGTGTTACTTTTTAGATTATGGAGAGTTACTATTAACTGGAGTATGGACAATGGAAAGATGTTTAAAATGCCAAGTTCAGTAAAGTCTGCTTTTAGAGGCCTGAGTGAAAGCTATTCCCATTCCTCCAGCAACTAAACTGTGTACAATCTCTGGGAAGATATAAGTCCTTCTAAACCTTTCCCCACTGTTCATACATGTTAACAAGTGGTTAATGGGCTCAGTCTTGGGCAGATGTGAAATGAGAAATTGAAAGTCCTTCTCGTGGGAAAAGCAGAAAAGTGTTCTTTTTACACCTGCTGTGATGTTATTTCCCAGAAATATGAGATGTCCTAACTTGGCTTTACTGTAAGCTTTTCACTGACCAAGCATCTCCCATCTTTATCTTCACAATTTTTCTTCCATAATTTATTTATTCTTCTTTATTTCAACAAACAAAGAATTTTGTGAAACACATATTGGGTATAATGTATAAAACAAACTACTTAGAAATATTTCTCTGGAAACTGGAACAAAATGTTGAAATGGATATGTTCATGAAAGAACACAACTGCAGACTCTGGCTCACATGTTTTACTTCACGTTGATTCTCAGGACTGTAAAGAAGTAAACACCACCTGTGTGCATGTGCACATACATACATGCAAACATGCACACACACACACACAAACACGCACACACTCACACACCACAAAACAAACATACATACCACATTCTTACAGGTACTCTTCAGAATCAGACAAGAGGGCACTGTAAAGTCCCAGATTTTTAATTAGGGAGGGTTCTGTGTCCTAAAGAAGTGACATAGGAAATTAAAGTCTTACTGGTAGGAGAAGAAGAAAAGGGTTTTTTTCACAGTAAGGAGACATTAAAGGTCATTGCCTTGTTAGCAGTGATTCTGGCCAGATTTACCTTTTTTCCCTAAGGTACAGAATGGTGCAGTACAAACTGTTTTGTTTTCCCTTACCTCTTGTATCTGCTGTGATGTGTTTTCCAAGAAATCTAAATGTTCTAATTTGGGTTTACTATAAGCTTTTCATTGCCTAAGCATCTCCCATCTTTATCTTTACTATTTTTCTTCCATAATTAATTTTTTTAACATTTATGCTTCTTCATTTATACAACCACAGAATATTGTGAAACACATATTAGGTATATCCTTGGGCAAGACCTCAACTGTAGACACTGGCTCAAATCTTTGTCCTTAACATTGATTCCCAGAACTGTAAAGAAGTAAACAATACATATG